GTTAGGGGTGTGCAGTGGGATTAGCGGGGTTGGGCGGGAAATGTGGGTGCATTCACGTGATATGGTTGGATATGGGTCTAACGAGCAGATACAAGGGCCTTGTCCTGGGGTCGCTGGATGCAGGCCTTCAATTTATCTCTCTGTTTTTTTTTGTAGCGGTTGCCTCAGCTGGGACTGCGAGCCCGCTTTCGTTTCTCGTTTCGTTTCCGGTTCTCTCTTTCCTCCCATTTTGCTTTTACCTACGTTCGCCTTCGCAGCGAGTTGAGCGAGCAACAACCTTGTGCCGGTACTGACCAGCGTCACATATGCAGGTCCAGCAAGCCTTTTCTTATATTTATATATATTACTTTTTCCCCAGCTCATGAACACACGGTCGACAGACCAACGATTTTGAGAGTATTCTGCGTGGTTCCTGCATGGGAGGCATCCGTCGGCGGGACGTTCTTCGCACAGGGTAGGCTGGAGTCGAAGGTTAATGCGCCGTCAACCTCGTTCAGTGTGGGCTCACTGTTGGCTGAAGGGCTGACGGAGGGCGCAAAGGAAGAGGCTGGTAGCTGGACGCAATTCAGGCGGTGGATGGCTGGAGTGGTTCGCGACCTTCTGCACACTCTTGTCCTGATGTTATGACTATTTCCTTTGCACTTTGCCGCATTAAACATGACGAAAAGGTCTCTTGATTGTATGTGTAATAATGATAGAGTAGCGGATAGAGCAAGGGGACAACTCGGGTATATGGCAGGGCTAGCAGAATAGGGTAGGAGGTGATAGTAGCTTGATAATTGATCTACAGTTGCACTAGAGGATGATTGAATACTGACATAGTACTAACATAGTAACCTATCAAACTCCGGCGACAGCCTGAAATCCTCCCTCTCGCAGTCGATGACTTCCGTGAAGGCCAGGAGGTTCTTTGCGTCCTCCTCCCTTAACGCCCTCACCAACTCCTCCCTCGTCGTGAATGCCCCCGCCTCCTTATCCTTCACCTCTTCCGCCAACAACGTCTTCGCCTCTATCTTCAACGTCTTCCCCTCCGCTTCTTTCGTCTCTCCGTCCCTTTCCCTCTCTAGCTCGTACGGCGGCGGCACTTGACTGTGATGTAGCGTCGCGATCACGTCGTCGTAGTTCACCTCCGCCCTCCTGCTCGTCCAGCCGCGATTCTTATACCGCTTCAAGGCGGCAGCTGGCGCGAGGTAAGGTTTTGGTTGTGGTTGTAGTTGTTCGGCCGCGTCACCGTCCGAGAACTCGTGGTCGGATACGGAGGCGTCAAACGTCACCCGCTTGACCGTCGCGGTGGATGACGAGGAGGAAGCAGAGGGACGGGACTTCGAGGACCGCGTTGGTCTGACGGGCGTGGAAAGGGATGTTTGCGGGTTGGCCATCTTCGTGGGGGAACCTCGGTCTGCGTCGGCTGGAGAATTCGCGCGGGGCACTGTCGTTGTTCTTAAATACCGCCTCGGCGACTCTTCCACGCGCCAGGGTTCGGCGTCGGCGTCAAGATGGGCGCCTTTCAGATCTGTCCTCCACGTCGCGTTGCTGGCTGGGAATGAGCATGGGCGCCCAGTCGTTGGCTGCGGGCCATGGCTGAGGGCGATTCATGGAGAAGCTTGAAACGTCAGGCCTTCAAGCCGTCGAACGAGACGCGCCAACCAACGTCATCGACCACTGCGCCAAAGATGGCGGAGTCGCGTGGGAAAGCGAAAGCAAAAGGATAACGTAATGGCTATAAGGGAAAAAAATGGGGTGGACGGTGGACTTGTCGCGTGGGGAAGGAACTTCGTGGAGATTCCGCTCCCGAAAACCCTGATCTAAAGAAATCTTCATCCAAATCATCGACATTTCTCGAAACATGTGCATTAAATATCATGACTAACACGGCTAAAACAACCAAGAGTAGACCGGAGAAAAGGATATATTGAGTCATAATCGAAGCCCGCGCGGACGGAGGGTGCATTGTCGCGAGCATGTCTAACTTTTAAATCGACATCATGACCCTACCACACGTTTCTTTAATTACAAATCCAACCGACAAACTGGCATCCGATACCTCCCCAGCGTGAAATACCGTCTCCTCACGCCATCCCATTCCTGATCGCTCCCTCCCAACCCATCCATCTCGATCTCTTCGTACGTGGTCGTGAGACCGATATCCAACAGATCGGCCTCGGCCACGCGACATGACACCTCGTGAAAGAAGGCGTTCGTGCCGGAGAGGCCGTTGAAGTAGGAGTAGATTGAGGTGGGGGAGGAGCGGAGGAGGTTGGGCAGGTGGTCGTGGAATTCTTTGAGGTCTTCGTAGTATTCTGTATCATAAGAGAGGAACAGAGCAAGAGGTTAGGAGAGGGAGTGGGGGCGGAGGAAGGGTTATAATATGAAGGGGCAAGATGCAGTTTTACAAGAAAACAGATAGACGTATTATACACAGAAGGCGAACATCATATTTACAATGAAGAAATATGACATAAAACAAGAGGGAGGAATTCATAAGAAAGCGAGATAAAAGCTCGCTGCCGCTCGGAATCTCACCTCCAAAAGTATCAAAGAAGATCCCATCGTAGGTCTCAAGCTGGTCCATCACGTCCTGCCAGCGACCAAACACGATCCGGACGCCGGGCTTCTTGTCCCACCCGTCCGACAGCATCTTCTTGTACACATCGGGATGCGCCTCGATGATCGTGTGCGTCCTCGGTCTGCTCACTATTAGCACCACCATTCTGAGACTGGCGTCAGCACTCACTTCCGCTCCTGCAAGAAGCCATCAATCAACCCGAGCCCAAATCCCACGTTCAGGACGTCCAAACCCTCCGTAGGCGCAATGGCAATCGCGTGACGAGCCATCAAGGGACTCTCCCAACCCATCATGACGCCGTTCGCGGCGCTGTCCAGGATCTTGCCGTCCGAGAACACGAGCGGGTTGGACAGGTATGACGCGTTCGGGATCTTCTTCGTTGCCGCCGCCGCCGCCGCCGACGACGACGACGACGATCCCACCGCTTCGCCTTCGCCTTCTTCCGTCTCCATCGCGTCCTCCGCGTCTTCATCCTCATCCACCCGTGCCTCCGCCCCCACCGGATGAACAGCCGCGCGACCCCCCCCCCGCCGCCCCCACGGCAACAGCGGCGGCGAGCCGAATAGTATGGCGAGGTCGAACCTCGTACATGCGAACGCGGGTAACTGCCAGAGTCACGCCGGAGGGTGGCGCCAGGATGGAGCTGGTGCCGGGCGTCATTGAATGCGCCCGGCGCTGGATGCTGGGCTTGCTATTTAATAAATGGCCGTTGTTAAGGGTCGAAGAGCGAGACGTTGGCGCGCTGTAGACTGAGGTGTGTTGGTCTTGTTTTGATATACGGAGCGCACTTGCGACTCACTTAAGATGCAGACGATATAAAGAAGAGGCAGTGACATCCTTATCCTGGGCCGCTACATACTCATTCGCAAAACTTACCCGCTCGTGCCCAGAACCAGCTGCAGTGCAAGGTCTTTCACAGCTACCAGAAGTAAATGTTAAATATCAGCAATTATGGGAAGGTGTAAGGGAATTTAACTTCGACAGAAAGCGGAGTACGAATAAGACAAGTTGTGAACATGACGTCTATCGGCAACCGATCAACCACCGGCCGCGTGGCAAAATGGTTACCGCGCTTGACTACGAATCAAGAGATTCCAGGTTCGACCCCTGGCGTGGTCGCGTGCGCTTCATTTTTATTTCCATGGCGAAAACTTTTGAAGAATGGCGTGGTGGAAACACACAGTGTATAATTTTTAGATTATCTTTTCTTTTTAAGATTTAACTTTCTCTACCCTTGCCTTATTCTATATTCGCCCAAGGGGTCGAAATACTGCTGCTAGCCGGTCTTGATTAGGCTCGTGGAGAGCTTCCCCGAATGAGATTTTGGGACGATTATGCACTTTAAGGATGTGTCGTTGCTCAAGTAATTTACTCACCGGATTACAGTATATTTCCCTTTTAACCTGCATGAAAACGCATTGTGACACCTGGTGCTGTTCGTCCGCCACCGCCATGGCGACCTCGCTGGGTGTTGAGCGTCTGATCCGCACCATGCTCTATCTCGTGAAGATCTCTCTCCCCTCGCAATGGTCATAATTGTCAAACTAACTGGATTTCTTGGTCGGTGGTCATTCATGGCCCTGCACTTGTCCAAGCCTCCGCGTGACCGTCAACGGCCAGCGATCACCGTATTGCATAGTGAGTCCGTTCAGTCCCGCGCCGAGGAATCAATCCACCACCAAGCAAGCTACGTGGACAGCCGGAAGGGTGGTAGCGTGTCCACAAGAACACTCAAGGAATGCAGTGCACGGGTCGTAAAAGCGCTTCAGATGGCTGGGGGCGAGATGGAGGCAGGGCCCGGGCATCATGGCTCTGGGAAAGGCACATAACAATGCGGGCAAAAGACAAAGATTTTCACCAAATAGCTGGTTGTTAAGCCGGAATTGAACCATTGATGTCGCAAATGGGTGAGACACAAACTTTGACAGCTTAAACTTGCAAATTGTAACAAGGACTGTTTAGTCAAAACATCTGCCAACTGGCCGCGTGGCAAAATGGTTACCGCGCTTGACTACGAATCAAGAGATTCCAGGTTCGACCCCTGGCGTGGTCGGTTTTCAACGTGGTTTTATTTTTTTTTGGGGGGCCAGTACCAGTCTCTTTCTCCTTCCTGCCATTTCACATCACCAGATCATATGCCACTGCTGCTCGCTGAGTTTGTATCCAGCAGCTTCAGCATCGACAATACTGTTCTGCAAGCCAGTAGACGGTGGAAGTCGCCGAGAGAATCATCGCATTCAACGAAGTTTTGAGTTTTGACAAAATGGTGGAGGAATCGAAGATCAAGAAGGAGGAGGAGGCAGAGACCGACGTCGAGGACGTGCAACCGACCCCGGGCAGCCAGGATGTCCTCGAGCGAGGCCATATCTACTTCTTTTACAAGCCGGTGAACCTGAGTCTGCGTGATTTCAATTATATATGGCCTGACCGTAAAACTACAGCGCGTTCAAGAGGATCACCCGGAGTCCATCGATGATCTCCAGCGCTTTTACATCCTCCTCCTCCCCACCGAAGGGCCTTCGTCGGGGAAGGACATGCACCGCCTGATTTTGGTGGCAAAGAAGCGCCTGCCGTCCATCGCCAAGGGGCACGAGCGCTTTTTCGCATTCGTCGACGCCGTCGGATCACTCGATGACTCGCTGGAGCATCTCCGCTTGAAGACGTACCAGACCAAGACGAGGGGCGAGAGAACGCAGCACGAAGCGAGGCCGTGTGGCGCTGGCGTTTACGCCATAGTCAGGGAAAAGAAATCGACGCATCTTTGCTACGTGCTTAGGGTGCCCGAGAACCCAGGTAATCCTTGCAATAATTCCTACGCTTGTTTCGTCTCTGTTAACGCATGATTAAATAGGACCGGTGCAGGACGAGCTCAAAATCCACCAAGAGGGCTCCTACGTCCTCTCGGTCAAGAACCCAGAATCGAGCACGCCCCGCAACGTCGGCCTGAGCCCCAAGTCAAAGCCGGCGTACCCGGCCGAGCTTAAATCGCTCTTTGGGAGCAGGAGGTTCATCTCTGCCGAGCCGGGCTTCCTGGATCACGCCCATTGCGAGCTGCTCTTGATCGCGGCCCGGGCGGATGAGCTGAACGCGGAGGAGAAGATGAGCGGGATTGAGGACTGGGAGGAGGAGGAGTGGGAGGAGATTGCAACCCTTAAAGATAAGAAGAAGTTGTTTAAGATGTGAGTGGAAAGCCTCTCGCCTGCTTCAATCCTGCGCTTCCACTAAAAGTCACACTCCTGTTGGCATGTTTTTAGGTTGGAGTTGCCGGTCAACGAGTTCTCAAGCGACCCTCTGCTGAAGGGTGTATGGGCGTGAATTCCTACAAAATTGCAAGTTCACCGCTTACCTCGGTAACATATATATATCTTTGGTCTCTGGGTTTTTGTACATGTATATGATACGTAGCATTTCGCATTTGCTAGCGATCGCCAGCGACTTCATCTAAAAAAGCAAATCGACCTTGCGCTAAAAACTTCATCTTACTCTCCAAGATTCTGTCACTGCTGATGTTGAATGGAACATTAGATACACAGGCCGGATAAGTGTCGTTCATTAACTTGAATGCACTTTTGGAAATAAGTAGTCGCAAGGCACCCATTGTTATACAAGGGTTGGATAATAAAGCTACAGAAGTTATCGAGAATAAAATTCAGACTTGGTGCAATCATGGCACGGTTTGCCGGAGCAAACGAAGAGATAAACAGAAAGACTCGCAAAAGCTATAATCATAGAATCACCATCCGGAATGAGGTTCGCAACCCCGACACCAAGCTAGCTAGAACCTCTTGGACCGATAAGTGATCCGCTGCAGCCCCATCCTCCCCGCCTCCGACCCCGCCTCGTCCCCGTCCCGCACGGACCTAACGTAAGCCTCCAGCGCCTCAACGCCATCGCTGCCAAGGCCATGCACTACAATATCCCTCCTAAACGCCTCCACTTCCCGCCGCAAACCCTGCGCCACCACGATCCACGTCAGCCGCAGCTCGTGCCTAGCCCGCGCGCGCGTCGGCCTTGCCGGCGTCACCGTCACGCCATCCGCGTCGGCGGCGTCACCCACCCAACCCGTCGCGCAGCTATCCGCCACGTCCAGAACGGGGACCTCGAGCGCCTTCCTGAAGTACTCCCCGACGCTCCCCGGGGCGTCCCACGCGCACCCGAGCACGGTCTCGACCCTCCTCCCTCTCCACCTCGCATTCTCCCCACCCGCACCGCGCCTCCTACCGAACGAGCCCGCGGACTCGACCTCGAGCACCTGCACGACGCGGCACTCGCACCCGAGCACCCTCCACCCTGCCTGCACGTGCGAGAGGTGCAGGAGGAGGCGGAGGGATGAGCGCAGCGGGACGGCGTGCGGCGGCAGGACGCAAGAGAAGCGGATCGGGTCCGATGACGCGTGGTTGGAGACGATCGTCGCGTCGGCGCCGGCGGCTTCGATGGTGCGAGGCATCGCGATGTCACGGTGGAATCGGGGGACGGGCACCTCGACGGACGCGTGCACGTGCGTCGGGTGATGAAGTGAGCGGGACGACGGTGTTGTGGAAAGAGGCGGCGTGACGCGGATGTCGACGTGGAGGACGTATCGGATGCGGGCTTGGTGGCTGTGGAATGTTCCGGGCAGGTCGTGCGGGAGTGGAATCGAGAAGGGAAAGGAGTGGTTGCCGGATGCGAGGAGCTCGAAGGGGGAGGAGATGGAGGAGGAAGGGGCCGGCGAGGAGTGGGACCAGACGGGCTCCGTGCGGTCGATGAGAAGGGAAGGGTCGTCGTGCGACCAGGTTGCAGGGTCGATGAATGCGGAGCGGGGCACGGTTACAAACTTGGGCGCGGAGGCCGAGAGCGAAGTGGAGAGCGTCTCGCTGAGCTGCAGGGCTGAGTCACCCGGAGCATCGAGACCTTGGTTGGCAGACGCGTGATTTCCCCAACCCGCGCCACCACTGCTCCGGACACTGTAGACGCTTCCGCCCCCTATAACGCCGCCTGAAGCGCGATCGTTTGGCACGAACGCATCATCCGAGGGACCTTTGAGATGGAACCCCTTCCCGTCACCAACAATCTCCCTTCCCACGATGCGAACCGTGATGGCCACCGTCTCACCGGTCAGCGGCTTCGCCAGCGAAAGCGCCACCGTGCCTTGCAAGGAGCAAGTTCCGTAGCCCAGGGCGCCGTGAAGGATGTTTGCGCACCCGGGCGACGGTGTTATGGTCAGGTCGCTGAACACGCCCCGGCCGCCCTCGGGTGGTGACGGCGGGCGCGCGAGCTGCGGGGCCAGCCCGTCCATGGTTGGATGGGCGGACATGGCGCGCGACATTGAGACTATGGGGACAGAGCCGCCTCTGTTGTACGAGCTGAGGCGTTGAGGCGCCGATAATGCCAATGAGTTGGCGAGGAGAAGGCGTTGCATTGCTGCGTGGGAGAGGTTGGAGGTGTGGTAAGACGGCAGGTCGGGGTCGTGGATGGTGGCCGAGACGGCCGCGAGCGTGGCGACAGGCATGGCAGCGAGGTCGACTGGATGGCCAGGTGTGAGTTCACGGACAACACACGTGGCAACCGACAGCATACCTTTGATCCCAGCGAGGGGATGTCTCCCGTTGATGCGCTCTCAAATGGATCCGGGACCGGATGTCGAGGAGGTTGTGGACCCTGGCCGGATCTTGATTGGAAAGAAGGTCGATCGCGAGCGGCGTGCGGCGTAGGTAGTAAGGAGGAGAGCCGACGACGACCGCAGACGGGAGGACTGGGGGCGCGGCCGTGCGGAAGGGAAGGAGAGCAGAGCACTTGGGCTACTAGGGTTTGCTGGCGTGTGATCGCGCAAAACGTGATCGCGTCAACTGTGTCGAACTCCGCTTCCACTCTCAGTTCGGAAGGCACGTCCAAAGGAGAGAGCTAAAAAACGGAGCAGCGATCAATTGCGGTCCTGTGAAGTTAAATCATAATCTGGCGCACTTAAATACTTAAAGTCACTTCAAGATTACTTTCTTCAAAGTGTCCACACTCACTTAACATTATAAATAAAAAGAGTAAGGCGCTCTCGTTTAAGGCTTAACAGACGCTCTAAATTACAACCGATATTATGTATTGGTAGCAGGATCGCATTGTGAAGAATACCGCCACCATCCGCGCCGAAATCGCCCCGTTCGTGGCCATGCGCTTTTATGAGCAAACCAACCGAAGTCCAAAATCACAGTCTTCCTTCGCTTGCTACTTCCGCAGCTCGCCTCCAGCAACGTTGGCGACGACGAGTCCTGGGCCACAGCGACCTGGGAGCGCCTACAGCGCGAATTGCTCCATCCCGAGCTCAGCAACCGCGCGTCCGCCTTGAACTTCCCCCGCAATCAAAATTTCGCTCGACACCCCGGCCGACAATGAATCTCTTCAGGTGCAAAGCTCCCCACGACAACTACATCCCCCACGACTACACTGATGCCAGCTTCGCCATGGGATATCGGTACCCAGACGCCTCCCCTCCACTGTTCCACTGCGAATCCAGCTTGCAACCCAACATACGTTGATCACCAACATCTCCGCTGCTCCCGATCGCCTCTACCACCTGCTCTCCGTCTGCTACACAAAACCAGCTAAGAATGAGCGATGTCGCATCACTCACAACAACGCCTTCGAGTTTCATTGAAGGAGCAAAATGGTTTCTGCTGTCGAACCGAAGGGTCTGTATTGAATTTTTTGCCAACAGCGCCAAAGGTGAGCCCGCCTCGCTCGACATCCTCAATCCCTGAGGTGCCCGATCGCCCGCGGTCGCACTGGCGCCGGTCCCGGGCAGTGTTGGAGTAGTTTCTTGAGGTGGCGGCGTTGGCCGGCGATGCGACGCTCCCTGTCCATTCGTGGCGTTTTGCTTCCAATACGCCAGCATGCCGACTCCCACCATCATATCGCTCGGAACATACAGTCGGCGTCGGTCTTCCATGTCTTGTGGCGCTCGGATTTTTCGTTGCGTCCTGGGACTTCGTGGAGGAGTTGTGGGGCCTTCTTGCGGCGTGATGAAGCTCTCTCGTTTCCATCCACCCCACCTGTTTTGTGCCTGGACATTTATTTCGTGTCAAC